GTGAGCATCACGGATCAGTACAGAAATAAAGTCCATCTGTCATCGTGCATGAGCACAGACAGAACACGAACACTGTCCATACTACAAACATGACCAAATGTGCCTCTATTGAAATAACACTTGTTAGAATCATAGAATTAACCCCACTTCCTGGAAGCTTTTGATCTAAAGCACTACTTTTTTGTGTAGTCCCCAAATGTCACTCAATACAAATTCAGATCCTTTCTAACTTTTCTCCAATTCTACCTATGCCCTTCTTACTGAGATATCCGTGAGTCCCTGTGATGCGTTTTTTTCTTTTGCCAAAAGTAATAAACCGTCTGTTCGGCTACAGAGAAGTTTCTAGTGATCTTTGGCTGGAAGATGTTGGCAGATCTTAACGGTGTCATGGTTCTCTATTCTTTTTCGCTTCTTTTTAATATAGCATTTTATTGGGGGCTGTTACAGATCTTATAACAATCCATACATTCATTGTGTCAAGCACATTTGTAAAAATGTTGCCATCATCCTTTTCCAAATATTTTCTTTCTACTTGAGCCCATGATATCAGCTCCTGTGTTTTCCCTCCCTCCCCAACTCCCACCCTCATGAGCCCTTGATAAAATAGAAATTATTATCATTTTCATATCTTACACCGTCTGCTGTCTCCCTTCACCCATGTCTGTTGTTCACCACCTTGGGGTAGTTATACGTTGATCATTGTGATTGATTTCCCCTTCCTCTGCTCCACTTCCCCTACCCTCATGGTATTCCTACCCCCATTATTGTTCCCCGGGGGCTTATCTGTCCTGGATTCTGTGTGTCAAGAGCTCTTATCTGTACAGTATATATGCTCTGGTATAGCCAGATTTGTAAGGTAGAATTGGAGTCATGATAGTGGGAGGGAGGAAGCATTAAAAACCTAAAGGAACGTTGTATGATTCCTCAGTGCTATACTCTACCCTGGCTGGCTCATCCCTTCATTGTGACCCTTCTGTGAGGGATGGCCAATGTCTCTTATTATTGTGTAATCTGGGCTAATTTTCTTCATCTCAATAATATTCACTATTGGGTTTCCAAGCATTTTGTCTTGTGCTTTATGGGACTTCACACATTTGATCCCAATAATGACTGTGAATAGTCACACTTAGTACTCCACTAACAGATGAGAACACTGACAGACCAAGGCCACAGCTATTACGTGGTTGAGCCAAGAGATCCAGGAAGCTAATATACCCGGTGGCACAACAGGTAAGCACAGAACTGCTAACAAAAAGGCTGGAGGTGACTCCGGGGGAATAAAGAACCTATGGATGTGTTCCCATGAGTGCAGCCTAGAAAGTCACATGGGGGCAGTTGCAGTATGTCACATAGCATCACTGTGAGTTGGAATAGACATGATGGGACAGCGAAGTGGTGAGCCCTTGCTGGATTGCTGACTTCCACAGCAATCTACTACACTCTCCTAATGGATTCCAAAGTGTCACAGAACTGTCGGGCTCTTTCACTGAAGGACACTCAATGCTGGTTTCCCGTAAAGATATTGGAGGGAAATAGAAATGAACAGTGGGGGAAATCCCTTGTCTCTGTCTTAGAAATAAAGGAGCTTCTCTTAAGTACTTTTAACATTTTCTGGAAGCATTGATCACACAATCCAGTTTTTACTGGGTTTTGGAAAAAATGGTATGGGATGATTTTACCCAAGAAAGATTTTCTTTTTGTTTCCCTCCCCTATTTTCTTAATGTGGTAAACAGAGTATTTGTGAGAGCCAGCTCACAAATTGACCAGCGACAAGGGGCACGTTTACAATTATAAAATGGATAAAAGAGACAAAAGAGAGAGTTTGGGACATAGGGGACCGAAGAAGAGACTCTGAGGCTCACTTCTTTATTAGAAACAGGTTTTTATATAGTTCTCGTCATGTACCCTGTGTTCTCTGACAAGCTTCTACACAGAGGGTCTGTTAACAATCATCTGAAGGCAAGCAAAGAAACATTAATATTTTAGCCAATTACTCTGTGACCCAAAGGGAAAAATAAAGCTAAGAGTAGGGAGGATAGCTGATCTTTGGAAGAATACTGTGCTTCAGCAGTTTCTCTGGGAAAGAGAGGGAAAGTGTCTACTTTATCTTAGGTGAATAGCAAACCATTCAGTGCATGAGCTCCTTGCGCTGAGCTGTTAGTATCTTCCCATGGAAGGTGATGATCCCATCCCCCTTGAAGAAGGAAATGAGCTCAGACTGTCCTGTAAATGCAGTACTCTGTTACCCAGAAGCCCGGTTCAGCGTTCTGCTCCAGGTTCTCTGTGTCCCGAGAATTTAGCACCAATATCTCCACATTCAGAGTTCCTCTTAAGAAAATCTGCTCCCACAAATATTTCTCTAAGGAATTGTTCCTAGATTCTGTCTCACGGTAACCCATTGCGACAACAGAACTGCAGTATGGGCTTCCTAGACGGCACTATGTCCTGGAAGAAATATAGCCAGAGTGTCTCTTAGATGTGAGACTGGTAAAATGTCTTTTCATGTATTTTGGACATGTTATCAAGAAACTGGAGAAGGGTATCGTGCAAGATAAAACAGAGGGCCAGTGGAAAAGAGAAAGAGTCTCAACAAGATGGATTGACACAGTGGCTGCAACAATGAGTCTGAACACAGGAACACAGGAGGAGAGGACAGTGCTTAGTTATATTGTATGCAGGGGACCACGACTTGTTGGCACCTACCCCAAACGGAACAAGTACAGCCAAAATGCTCCTTGGAAGCAAAGAGGGTGACCCTTCATCTGACATGCTGTGGCCATGTCGTCCGGAGACAACAGCGCCTGGATAAAGACCTCCAGCTTGGGAAAGCAGAGGTGCAGCAACCAAGAGGAAGACCTTCGAGGAGATGGATGTACGGATGCAACTCAACAATGGGCTCAACGCAACGATGGGAGGATGGCACCGAACCAACTCAACGATGGGAGGATGGCACAGAATCATTGGACCAGAACCCACTTGATCCATGGCACCTAAGAAGAACAAGGGCAACCTTGTTTACATAAGCAGCTCTCCAAGTCTTTTCACACTCAGAACTGGTTGGGGGCATTCCAACTATGAATCTTTCCCTAGGAAGTGCAGAGCCCCATCAGAGTGCCACCAAGACTCACTAGTCATGGGGCTAACCAGAAAACCAAGCTCACTGCCAGGGAGTTCCTTCTGACTCACAGGGGCCCCATGAGACGAGGTAGCACAGCTCCTGTGAACTTTTGAGATGGGAACGCTATACCAGGGTAGGAAGTCCTGTCTTTCACATGCCGGGTAGCTGGTGGTTTCGAACTGCTGATTTTGCCTAACACAACCCACACAACCACGAGGGCTTCCTGTCATCGGACTCGTGGCCTCTATTTCTTTTTAATGGAGACAGAGGAAGTGTGAGGCATACAGTCTTGGAAGGCATTAATATCCAGGGAGATGGGAGTGCATTAGTTTTATTTCTTTTATTTGACTTTGCAATTGCTTTTTATATGATTTTGTAATTAGTTAGTCCAGGTGGCTTCCATCGACAGCCATTCAGACGGGTTTCCCATTTAGAAGTGACTTAAAGCTTCCCTTTGAAAATGAATTTCGTTTAGTAAAAATTTCATTCCCTTAAAATATTAAGCAAACAGTGGTGCAGATGGTGAAAAAGCATGACCAAAACTCATGAAGGTGTTTGGGGGAAATCCTGCTTTCGGGGGTTCTTCTTCGCTTTGGGTGCTGGAAAGACCAGCCTTTAGTTCATGGGTGATTGCTGGGGAGAGCACGGGCTCCACACCGGAATCCTGCTTTCCCGTCGTACTTCTGGCTTCATCTTCTAGCTCTTCCCGCACGTGTCCCTCTGTCCTCCCCTCTGGCCCACTCACATCCTTTTAGTATTAAAACACGTTGTAGAGATAGTCGGTGGGGCTGCGGGAGAGGGAGTGAACAGAATACATTTTTCTTTGCTTTAAGAATATCAACATACCAAAAGAGTTTCTCAAATCAAAACCAAACTCACTGACATCGAGTCAATTCTGACTCAAAGTGACCCTATAGGACCCGTTTGTGTTTCTGAGACAGTAACTTTATAGGAATAGAAAACCTCATCTTCCACACCCGCCCCCC